TGGCTATAACCAGACCGGGTTTGAGGGCCACTCAATATTTAAGTCCCAGATTTGCACCTGGAATCTAAACCAATCAATTTGCTGGGTATAATGTTTGTCTTTTAATTATTATTTACCTTGTTTTTTGATAGTCAATATTTTGTTTATTTATTAGGGCAATTCCGGCGGTCCGGCTATAGAATTTAGACACGGTTAGATTAATAATTAATAATTTTATTTTGAGTTGTAATATAATGTTACCTATACTTATTATTAAACACATAGATCATCCAGTGCTGATCGGAACCGTATCGTACGCGGTTAATTGTTCAGGTTTTTAAATTAAATATTATTGCAGAATTATGAATATATAAAATACTAATTTAAAACATTATTTACCTAGATCAACATCCGCTTGTATTTACTAAAATATCATATTTCTTGGATTGGATTCACACCGTTATAGAAGAGCATAAAAATCCATTCATTAATCGACCAAAACTAACCAAAACTATTGAGAAACAACTTGTGGTCGCCGTTAGTATTGAATCAAATTATTAGATCATACGAGCGACTAGTTTATAGCATTGATTTGTTCACTGTATTAATTAATTATTATTTACTAACTATACATAACAGACATTTGGTAGTAAATATGAACAGCTTGAGCTAAATATGACCAGTATCACCGAGCACGAAGTCACACCAGTCAATACTTATATTAACAATTCAATAGAATATGGTAATAAATTGCAAACATTAATTTTTTATAAAATTTGTAATTAATTACAACGACCTTGCACATTTTTATAGCTACTCAGAAAAACGCCTCGTTAGGCGCCCACCCCTGGGTTGTGGTGGTGTTGCAAAACAACCGACACCATTGCACCGGTAGTATATTAAACGATAAATGGGTCATGACCGCCGCACATTGTTTCAAGTAAGGTAGATTTAGCTAGATAAAAAAAATTTGTTATTAAATTAATATACATATACAGTATATATTTCTCATATAACCACTTAAATTATGAGTGGGCAGAATGCATATGACTCTATGTAAACGCAGACCTAGACCTGACAATGTCAGGCTGACATAGTGCACCCACAATTAAAATTAATTTTATTTAACAAACACAACTACCATGTTTAAAACATAATCATGTAATTGAATGAGCACAGCAAATCAGACCCGACTTCAAAGCCGTCCAACTTTACCATAAGGACGGGAACGTTGCTAAGGCTGGACGGCAATGAGTACCCGGTGGCCAAAATTGTGCAGCACCCCCAGTGGAACTATTGGGGCTTCAAAAACTCGGACATCGCCCTGATGAAAATAAACGGCACCATCGATATGGGTGAAAATATTAAACCAATCGATTTGCCCAAGACACTATTTGAGGAGCCCGTGAGGGAGCACGTGATTGTGGCAGGGTGGGGCAAACGGTTCCTAAATAGCTCAGTCACACTGTTGTTGGCCAACGAGTTTAAGCTTAATGTAATACCGAATGGCCGGTGCGCACAGGCCTACACAACCATTCAGTATATGACTTATAAGTCCCAGTTGTGCACATGGAATCGCAATCAAACAGTGTGCGAGGTCAGTTTGAAATGTTTTATATCAGTGATTATTTGTTTTATTAATAATGTTGGTGGTTTTATCTATCAGGGTAATTCTGGCGGACCAGCCGTTGAATATAGACATGGTGAGATACAGCTTGTATATTAAATACAGATGTAGAGTAGCTTTATTTCATTTTCAAATCAAATCATGTTTTATTTAGAGAGTCCTGCGTTCACCAAATGGTGCTGTTCTTTACAGAAACTCTTATTACATATAAAATTTACATAAAATTATTTATATTGAAATTAGTTAAAAATATTTTTAATATTTGTTATAAAAGTGTTAATATTCGGGGAAACTCTTATAGAAACGTCCAATTGATTCCACAGTTTGACACCTTTATGAAAAACAGTATTCTGTGTGTAATTGTGTTTAGCATTGGATGGCTTCAAATGTTTGAGGTTTTGAGTTCTCGTCCTTCTTTGGGGCTCGTATTCAAAAAACTTTAGATCACTTCCCAATCCATTGATATTTTTATATATATATTTGTAGATCTCATACTTCAAAAGATCGCCAAATGATAGCCATTTTAGTTCAATTAATAGCGGCTCTGAATGAGCCCTAAAATCCTCGTTCAATATATATCTGGCGATTGTTTTCTGGATTCTTGAGATGCGATCCAAATGCCGATCATAAGTAAGTGACCACACATTTGATCCATACGTCATGTGAGGCACTACTAGTGAGTTGTATATCAGTTTAAGAGCAGATGTCGGCAAATGGTGTCTAAGTCTTGATATAATTGAGGCAACTTTTGAGCACTTCTTTGCTATCGAGTCGATGTGTGACTTGAATTTGAGTTGTGTATCAAAAGTAATGCCCAGTATTTTCATGTGATTTGTTTCAATAAGGGATATATCATTGTATTTAACATTAAAATCACTGATTCTGGTCCCGAATAACGTATAGAAACTTTTAGTTGTGTTCAAAATTAGCCGATTCTTATTGAAATAATCACTTAATTTACTCATATTTTCATTGACTTTATGCAATAAATTATTAATAGATTTGTCGCTAACGATCACCGATAGGTCGTCAGCAAATAAATACATGTCTCCAAAGCATTGGATATCAAAAATATCATTAATGAATAATATGAACAAAAGTGGTCCCAAACTCGAGCCCTGTATTACGGATATATTTGATAGCATTTTTAGTTCACTTTGTTTGTCCAGTATTTTAACAAATTGTTTACGATTAGAGAGATATGATTGTAACAAATGCTTAATAGAGACTAAACCATAATTTGTCAACTTTTGCAGCAGAATGTCGTGATTTATCAAATCAAACGCCTTTTTCAGGTCTACTGTTACGGCACATACATATTGGTTGCGATCTCTTGCATAACAGATTTGCTTTTGTATAGCTATAAGACAATCAGTAGTTGAATGCTTTGGTCGAAACCCGAACTGATTTCTATGCAAAATATTATTTGTGTCCAAATGTTGCTTAATTTCATTGAATAGATGTCTTTCAAATACTTTGCTTATAACGCATAACACAGATATCGGCCGATAATTGTTTGGATCAGATTTGTGCCCACCTTTGAACACAGGGGTCACTGAAGATATTTTCCATATGTCTGGGAATATTCCTGTAGTTATTATTGTGTTTATTAGGCATTGAATGTGTGGTGCGAGAGCTAAGACTGACATTTTGACCATTTTAGTGGCGATGCCATCACTGCCACAAGAATTAGTATTTTTGAGATTCTGTACATATTTTATAACCATTTCTTCAGAAATAGTGTTAATATCAAAATTACTTAGAATTGGAGAACTATTTGATTGTAAATCAATATTTGAATCAAAATTGTTTACTAAATTCAGGGCACTATTCAAGAAGTTCTCATTCAATTCATTTACGTCCAGAATGTTGTCATCGTTTTTACGAAACTTTTTTGTTTGAATAATAGTCGATATGATTGACCAGATTTTCTTAGTATCTTTTATATTGGTATTAATTAAATTCGTATAATATTCACGTTTAGCGTTTTGAATCAAATGATTGCATTTGTTTCTCAATGCTTTGTATTGAAATTTCAATTCATCCACATTTTGTCGCAATTTCTTTATAGCATTTTGTAATTCTTTATATTTATTAAACTTTTGTCTCATTATGTCTTTGATTTCTTGTGTTAAATACAACTTCTCTTTATATTTGACTCGTTTTGTCTCAATTGGAGCCAATTTATCGAAACAATTGATTATAACATCAGAGAGTTGTTCGCAAAATGTGTTGCTATTAAGGGATGTATTATTATATAAAAGTGGTGTTGAATTGTCTATTAATTCGTAGAGATTTTTTAACGTAATATTTGAGTAGTTTCTAAATTTCACATTTTTTGCCATTGATTTGCAATTTTTTTCATAATTTAGTTTACGGCAAAAAAACACAAACTTGTGATCACTTATACTGAGGTCTAATACACCACAACCAGAGATATTTTGCGTATTGTTAGTGAGTATGTGATCAATGATTGTATGGGTTGTAGACGTAGTACGAGTTGGTTCGGCAACTAATTGCGTGAAACCCTTATCTGAATATATCTTCTCATATTTGGTATCACTTTTCTGGAGATCGATGTTTATGTCACCCGTTATTATCAACTCTTCATTTGAATACTTCTGCAGAAACTCTTCGAAAAAACTGCAAAACCCATTGTCAGGTCCGGGAGGTCTGTATATAACACATAGTTTGAATGGTTTAGCATTAAATTGCTTGACATCTAATATCAACACTTCGTGATTAGTTTCATATTCAACGATATTAGCAATTAGTTTAGTGTTATTATAATACACACAAACGCCCCCTCCTATGCGATCCACCCGATCATTGCGTACAATATTATAGCCATTAATATTTATCTCGATGTCTTGGATGTGGTCAGTGAACCAGGTCTCGGTCAGGCACACGATGTCTGGTCTCATTTGGGCCACAATTGCGTTGAAAACATCGAATTTTTTATGTAGAGATTGAGTGTTAGTTATGAGGCATTTAATGCCTTTTGCCCTTAAATAAGGTATAATTATTTGATTGTCAATTAAATCAGTCATATTATTGTTCACATGGATTAGTATCACAACAATCAACAAAATATTCACTACTATTTGCATAATTATAGTCTAATTTAGTTAAATTTAGTAAATATTTGTCATTAATTTATAGCACATGTTGTTGTTGTATAGCACATGTTTTCTCAATCAGCACTCACCCATTCACCCAATTTTACCAATTTAATTATTTTCATTTGTTTCTAGATAAACCTGTGCTAGTAGGAGCTGTGTCGTTTGGAGTCAAGTGTGGAGGTAATTAACATGCCTATTTTAAGTAAATTTATTTTTAATCTTGGACACAATTATAATAAAGATTAATTTAATTATGATAAACAAATGTAAACTTATGCTTTTAGACGCACATCCGCTTGTATTCACTAAAGTCTCATATTTTTTGGATTGGATTCACAAGACTTTTGAAGACATCGTTTAAAAACCAAATTATTTTTTTTGTATAATTTTCTTAATTAATTTAATTAAACATTAAACTAGATTTATATTTCAACAAAACTAATTACTATATTTCCTAATAATAAATTGTGTTAGATGTTTATTGTGGCATCATCTGTTGTCCCACATGGTAAATATACAAGCAATTGATTTTAATGTAAAACTATTTAAATTCTTAAGATCTATCACTTAATTCATATGATATTTAATTTGGATAAAAAATTGTTAAAACATTCTAAATATTTCTTGAAAACATTAAAATTTTTAATATATTTAATGAGATAGTTACAAATAATATAGTATCAATACTACTGTATTCTGTATTTCACTGGTATTTGCTTGTACTTTACATTAATGTAGCATTATAATTTATAAATATAAAGTCCATTATTTATTTCCAGTATTTTCTGCCCGATGTTTACCACTACAGATAATAGATAATAGTCGTGTGTTTTATATTTATATTAAATAATTAAATAAATTGATAATAACGTAGAGATTTTTGGCACACACTTTACGCATAAATAAAATTATATAAATAAACATACTACTTATATTAAATTTTAATTTGTTGTAACAGTTAATATAGCATAGATTTGTAAAATTATAAATTTATTATAGATTGAAATAAAATTAGATCTAAAATCACGTAATACTTATACCTAGATAATTAAATTATCTAGTTAAAAATTATTTAATAATGCTATATTGACAATATTTATCAAACTAGATATACATGTATACTTTTGTATTATGTTTTATATTCTACTAAATAAGTCACAAAATTCTCATTTAATGACAATTAATGTTTACCATAAGTGCATTACAATCAAGTGTTGCAATCGTAATATTTACTCAATTAAAGTCTAAGAATGGATTAAATTTACGACAATTTATATGACAACTAAATAGAGTAGTAAACAGGATATTATCATATGATTGATGTTTTATACCATGAGTTTCTTTTGGCATTTAATTTATAATATAAATACTTGTAAATTGAGTAAATATTGGGTTCACTATTGTGGAAATTTCCAGTTAATTAGTACACTATATAAACGGAAAGCATATTGCTCATTTATTTATTGTATGTTTGCAAATTACAAGTTTACCAAGTAATTATATTTCAATCCAATTTAATAATATTAATATTATTAAATTATAATGTAAGTATTCCAGAGCACCGAGTTAAATAATGTTATGAAATCTTATAGTGTAAATATTTAATTATAATAATATAATAATAATAATATTTAATGTTTACCAAGTTTTGGACAAATAAAAATATTATGTTTTCAACGACTATAACAAAAACTTTGAACATAAATTCATATATTATTAATAGTTAATGTAAATACCATGCACAGATTATTAAATAATAATGCACTTTAAAAATATTAGAAACATCCAGAATAAAAACAAGACACAAATTGATCATAATGTTATTTCGCATAAAATATATTGTTGTCATATTATTAAATACATATTATTCTTAAATAATAATACAAAATAAATGTAATAATTATTTTATATACATTTGGACAACAGTTTTCGCAAATGTCAGCCAAACCTCTGCAATACCGGTCATCGGCTGTCAATGACATGTCTGTCACCAACGGATCCAATGGTTTGACAGGAAATGAAAACCAAAGACAACGTCTAGAAGAGGATAAAGAGGAAGAAAATGATGACAACAGCGATAAAAGAGGATTAGTTTTAAGTGAAAAACAGATGCATTTCCTACGCTATGAGCCCTATCTCTATAACTGTTATGTCAGCTCTTTTATGGAGAATATGTTTCTGCAAAAGTAATATACAATTTATATGTATTTTTATTTTCTTTTTATTGTGGTTTATTATATTTTCTGGTTTACCCTATTTGCTTACAAGCTAGAGTTTATATAATATTGACTTATGTATAGTTATATTTGTCTAGTTTGTTATAAAACAAGAACTGTAAATTATTATGTTTAGTTAAGTTTTATAGTAACTGGGGTTTACTTTAATGAACTTTTGGGATGTGGTATAGTCTACATACATTTTTTTTATTGATTTAATTAGTAACTATAAAGTAAATACATTATTTTTAAATTTAAAAAATACATTTAGCGATTGATGTTATGAACAGATTTATTTGATATAATTGCTTAACAATATAGATCGCAAACTGTACATAATATATAAATTATAGTACATTATGATTTAAATTAAATTACTACAACCCTTTTGGCAGTAAAGAGTAAAGAGCACATGATTTATTTTATATTTTTTATATTTTACTAATTATAAATATTTATTTTTTTGTTTGTAAAAATAGATTTTGGTTTAAACTATCCCAGTACGTGCCAATATCGATAGCACCATGCACAATCACATGCATCGGGCTGATTATAAATTTGATCACAAGCGCCACACTATTCTACTACTCACCCGATGCTAAACAAACTGTAAGTGAACCAACTCTACCACCCTTTATAAATAACAATAACTAACCTTAGTAGTAATAATACAGGTGCCAAACTGGGCATTCCTGACCTGTGCTGTCGGCCTATTTCTGTACCAACTGTTGGACGCGTTGGACGGGAAACAGGCGGTCAAAGTACAGGACACACCCATTGAGGAGGTGTACGATCACGGCTGCGACGCTGTGTCCGCTTTTCTGGTCACCCAATCGGTCACAATCGCCGCTCAGTTGGGCGACAGTCCTGTTCAGCAATTTATCTTCTTTATTGTGCCGTTGATTGCCTTTTATATGACACACTATTGCTGTCACGTGACAAGAGTTATGGTGTTTGGCCGGTATGTTAGCACAAAATATTAATCATATTTGATTTAAAACATTTTATTATTTAAATCGCAAAACAATTAACTACCCTGTTTAGTATTATCCTAGCAAATACTCTCACCATAGTCAATTTATTATGTCATTAAACGTTACTGAATTGCTGAAAACACTTCACTAATAAATATATTTTAATTTATCGTAGGATTGATGTGATAGAGGGTCAGTGGGCTATCATAATAGTCCATACCCTGGCCTACGGGTTTGGGCAGCAAATATTTATGCGCCGATTGTTTGTGTTGGACATCACGGTTAGGGATGTGCTCTTTGCGCTGACCATACTATCACTAATTGGATCCATTGTGAGCAACGGGCGGTTGATATTAGGGGCCGACACACCGATGGACCGGTACGTACGGATCCCTCGTATGACTGGTCCCGCCAAATGGTATCCATTGGTTTCGCTCGTGATTTTGATCCTATTGTCAGTCATGGGATTCAATAGACAGGTGTTTCACACAAATCCTCTCCTATTTATTATTACATTTGGTTTGGCTTTCGCTAACTTGTCGTTTAAATTGCAGGTAATGTCTGAAAATTAAATAATTCATATAATTAATAAATTTAAATATATTTATTTTTGTAAAACTACTTATAAAGTATTTAATTAATTATTTAATTTCAATGCTATATTAAGTTTTTAATTGTTTATTTTTCTAATTACAAAATAGATGATGAATGTAACCCACGGTGTAATGTCTAGATTTGACACATGTATTATCGCACCCGTGGTTTTGGTCCTAAATTCTTACGCTAACCTATTGTCAAACAATACATGCCTAGTGGTGGCCCTCCTGTACGCCCTTTGCGATCATGTGTTGTATTTTTCGCTCTCAAGTATAGATATGAAGAGGGCTTTAGATCTGAA